TACAATAAAACCCCTCCCAACATTTTGCGCTATTTGGTGAGCAAAAAGACGTTGGCCCCATTTTTTTTAAGGGGGCAAAATCATCGAATGACTGCTCCCGCCTGGGTGAGGCGGGAGGGAGTGTCAGACTCCAACTGACTAAAAACCACCCCGTTCCTTCTCCTGCACGTCGAGCCGGAGCCCCGGTTACCCGTTAGGTTCTCCGCGACAGCCCCCATTAGAATTGTTTCCAGCCTTTTGATGTAGGAATGCAATGACCACATGAAACTATAAGACTAAAACGAAACATTTCTCAGAACTCACAAATTGATTAATAGGTAATGCATATTTTGTTCCAATACGATCTTAAACTATATGTGATAACATACATCGCTTAGACTAACTTAAGTACTACTTCAAAAAGAATTCTTTTATTCGAAAAACTCATTGAACTTGAAAAATACTTGTGAACAGATTAGAAATTAGATATATTTAGACGTATACATAGAAAAGGGTTACAATAGTGTTGCTTTTTAAAACCTGGTATCCAAAAATGTTTGTAAAATGTGTAGCGAAACTTACAATTATTTTTTCATTTGACGAGTGTGATGTTGTATTTAATTATTGAAAAAGGATTATTCTAAAAAGGTTCTTAGGTATAGTCGGTCCAGTGGTTGACATTAACATATGGCTAAGAATAGCTTTTCTGAAATAAAACTCGGACTTCGCTATATATACAGCAACCAGGAGTTCTCAAGTCAATTTACGACGTACACACGGCTACACATCGAGCTTTACATAACCAGTATAAACTGAACGTTAAATGTGCGGAAAGATGATGCGACGCGACACCAGGATAAACTGGTTTTGTATAGATTGATGTGTGGCCGTGTGTACTTAGGTACCAAGTTAGCACTCTAGTTTTAAGTAAATAAATATTTTACATGTGTAACTACATTTTAATTCAACAGTATTTACTATTAATTACTTACACAGTAACAAGTACAGAAGTGAATCTAAAGAATGTTTAACAGGACTTAATCACAAGAGCGGCACCTAGTGTACATTTCGAGAACCCCTGTAAAACAAATTAAGGGACAGTTTAGCAGTACTACATAAATATTTAATTTAACACAAGAAATGTGAATAACATGGAAACATAACCTAATACTAACCTTTTTGAAATCGGTTAAATAATAGATAAATAAAGAATAAGTACAGTTATAATACTAAAACAATATCAAGTGAGTTTCCACAGACAAGTATTAATTAACTTACATAATTATTATTTTGTTTATATAATGTACTCTATGGACTTAGTTACCCTGCAATCGTTGGAAGGATACGGACGATTGTCTGTGGAAATTGTTTATGGATATAGACGGACTGTCTACGGTGAAACGTATCGACAATATGACATGCAGATTAGAAAAAAAAACATGCTAAAATATATGTCTTAGTGAGCTAAAAAATACGCAACGTGCACGGATTTTATTAATGTTCATAGATTCTCTGCTTTATTTGTATTGTCTTAAAGTACACATTAATAAAACAGACTTTAAAGTCACAGACTAAAATAATCATTCACATTACAGGCAAAATTAAAATATCCTACAAAATCGTGTCATGATACTTGCCTAACTTGACTATACTAAGGAAATCCGTCTAAACCATATTCTTTAAATAATAAACAAAAAAATATGAAACGCACAAAACCTTTTACGAAATACTGATCATACTTTAGGAACTACAATTAGCCGTTACAAAGATTCGAAAATTTGTCAGTAATCGTTTACGTAAGATCCTGTAGAGGGCGCTAGCGAGAACTCCATAGACAAACCTCTTTATCACAGCTGTTAAAATGCACACAAAATTAATGCATCGTCCCTTGTAATAAAGCTAAGTGCGAACATGGCTTAGCGGGCGGTCCTAGGTAGTGGATTGATTATTATTTACTCGCAAAGTTTACTCAGTAGAATTAAGGTACATTTAGATGGACTTTGAAAAAAAAAACAATCAGCTTAATATAGTACCTCTTCCTTTTTAGGAAGTCGGTAAAAATGAATTATAGTCTGAGGCAAACTTAAGTATGTAACTGACAAGAAGCGATTAAGTGTCCTCATATCCAGAGAGTTAGACACAATTTAGGTTTATTAAGTAAAAAAAATGGCCGAGTATTATATAATTGCAAACCATTTCATTACTTCTTTTTCGTCTATTTTTATGTAAAGTTACTTTTGAATGCAAAATATGCTTTTAAACACTGTAAATACTACAGTAATCAGCTTAAACATAGTCTCATTAATAAGATACATACCAAGACCATATTAGAACCAAGTTAAAAATAATAAAACAATACCAAATACCAAAAGGAACCGCCCTCAAAATCTTAATATCTATGTCTTACGGTAAAAAAGTAACGAGACTTGCCTATGGTCGTTAATAGCGAATCGAATCGCTGCAATGTTTTATAAATGGCTCTGAATTTTCCTAAACTTTCAACGTAGAAAAATAAATAAGATACTTATAAAAAAAAATACTTACAAAATTATAATTTAAGACGAGATATCGTTGGTTTTGCGTCTGTGGTTGAATTTGACTTGATTTAAAGTTAAGGCACTGTACATTTTAATATGGAGATGAATTTCAAATGACTTGTATTGTTCTACAATGATTTCAATATCAAAATTCTGTATAAGAACGCACATGTAAACAGCTATTTAAACTGTCAAACACCAAGCGGTCACCGGTGACCGCGACCTATTGTTCTTTAATTGTGTCTGTAAAACCGGTACTCGACGAGTTAAGGCAGCAATGGTCTTTAAAGTTAGATTACCTATTAACTCTGTCACTTTTTAATTTGAAGACTAGACAAAAATATTTCGCCATTTCTGCATAAGGCCATGCGCTGCATTAGGCGTACGACGGGCGCCCGATGCAGCGCTGATCTATGAGATTACATGAAACAACGCTGCGCAGCGCACGGCCTAACTATTCGTTAGCAGATAAATTTGACATATCTTTCATAAGATTTGTCACTTAAGCCAATGAAAACTTAATCAGTAGTAATTAAATAGGTTATTTCGCCCATATACTGCACTACTACTCAATGTTAATTAAAGTTGTACTTAAATATCGTGTCATCTCTATCATATTAGAGGTACAAAAGAACTTGAAGTGACAGAACGTAAATTGAGTAATTGAAAAATCTGACCCTATTAAATTCTATAGTTTCAGAGACATAATAGAAAATACACCGCGTCTCACTTAGATATACGTTCAGAGGAACAACGGGTTTGTCAATCTGTATCTAATGATTGAAATGTTTAACAAACTCAACTACAGACACAAAATAAATAAGTTTGAATGATTTTGTTGTCCTCAACTTTGGTCCCCGGATCGGATCCGTCCTTACGACTATCAGTACGATTTGGTAAGCTACTCTATTCCCTGACTAAGTGGCACTTACGTGTGAAATGTAAACGAAGTTTCTATGCATTGTTTTTAATCCTTTGTCAATGATTTTGTACAATTGTAAACTTTTTAAAGTTGTCTTTTACTAAAAATTATGATGTTATTGAATAGGAGATATAAGCATCGGCAATTAAGCCAACAATATTTATAAATTATCTACAGAATTAAATTAAAATATCTTTTAAACAGAGGACCCAGTGGACTATTATGAGCTTTTGACGTAGCTATTAAAAACATGTTGGAGTTCTAATGTTAAACTTCATGTAAACATAAGAAAGATCAGGCATAAGATTAAGCATTCACAGACCACTCCAAATTCCAGGGATACTTCAGACAAACATTAACCAAGGATTAATTATTATCATTTACATTTCATCACGCGTCCTCCTCGCAAATTGTCCACGTGTCCGCATTACCAAAGGCGTTGAAGCAACAAAACTTATATTTTAATAAATATCCGCGTTGTATGGTTTGATGTAAAACTATTCAATTCGGATAGAAATATATAGACTCCTGTAGTATCATGAGGGCCTCGTAGGAATCTGCTTTAGTTTTCTGGTTCATAGGAATTAGAACTTGTATGTTTGTAAACACACCCACGAGATAGGCGAAAACCCTAGTGAGGGACAACGTTTTACATAGAGTTTTGAAAAATCAATGGACTTATTACTGTTCATAAGCTTACATCATTCCATCACAACGCCGAAATATGCGCATACGCAAGTATAGACACTTATCTACTACTTATGAGTCGGGTTTCTTACGAACCAACGTTATCCGAGTCCATGAGCGCGCCGGTTCCATATAAATACATCACATTTATATATTTATACACTAAACAGCCTTTTTTTGAGTTTTTTTTTTATTTCTTTATATTTTTAACAATACATCAGGAACTATTTTCTCACTTGTAATTTGATTAGAAGTGAGAAAATCATTTCTTTTGCCTTTTCTCGTGGATCTGGGACATTAGCAGTTTGATTTTGACTTTTGAATATTTTTACTATTTTCTTATAGTCCTTTAGTGTTAAAAACTGCTAATATCCTAGATGAATAACAATTTTATTAGTTATAGTGGTGAGATTGCGTCGAATCTCCCCACGGATTGTGATCCTAAGTGAAATGTTTAACAATGTGTTATTTTCAACAATAAAAACGAATGTCAGACATGCTTGAAAATAGTGAATTTAAAATGTCGTTTGTAAAACCTACCTTCAAGCTTATGAAATAAGATCTATATTTGACTAAGCGAGGCTAAAGAAACAGTTATAATCTTCACAAAAATGTCTTTTACAAAGATCCTTATAAATAACTAATGGTTTCTAGATCAACATCGTTTTCAATCCCAATTTACTTTCACATCGGGACTTGAATAAACAAAATTCATAAATTTCTTTTATATTGTGAACAGTCAATTGCATAGTAACAAAGAAAAAGCGACTTTAATCCATACCAACAAGATCTAAATTGGTATCAAAAGCAAAACTGACTGTGTCTTAGATTCGTTCAAACCTTTCTAGCATGCCTGACTTTCCACCTGCAGCTCTTCACGCCTTCTCCTCATTAAGAGGCTGTTCCTCATGCTGCTTCTCGACTTCAGTAGTAGGTTTCGCAGAGTTCCATGGTTGGAGCTCCCCTGAACCGAAGCTCACGAAGCAGAGGGCGCCAGTGATGTATGTCCCCGCTAGAATGTAGAATACTATCTTCCATTGGTCGGGGGTGTTCTGCAAAAGAGATTTATTCGTTATGAATCAAACATTTTGAAAAATTACTTTAATATAATTGGAGATTTTGGTCGTAAGTGGTGTTAGGGATTTAGCAAAAGAGATTTAAGATAGAACATAACATAACATCACCCCTTTTATCCCCGAAGGGGTAGGCAGAGGTGCACATTATGCCACTGTACTTACAATGTAACACCCTCTTTTCATTATTTACGTTATGAGTCCCATTTAACAGGGGGTGAGCCTATTGCCATATACCGGGCACAATTCCTGACTCCGTGCTACTACTGAGAATTTTTTTAAAACTCAGTAATACTTTGCCCGACCCGGGAATCGAACCCGAGACCCTTTGCCCGGCAGTCGCACTTGCGACCACTCGGCCAACGAGGCAGTCATTTAAGATATAAATAGACAAATAATGCAAGAAAAGTGTTTTTAGCATAATAACCAATTTTAACCTGACACTTAGTAGAATGGAACGGAATGGATCCAATTATAATTTAGGAGTAATAATTTTGTTTAAGGGGGAAAAATCATCGACTGACTGCTCCCGCCTGGGTGAGGCGGAAGGGAGTGTCAGACTCTTACTGACTAAAAACCACCCCGTTCCTTCTCCTGCACGTCGAGCCGGAGCCCCGGTTACCCGTTAGGTTCTCCGCGACAGGATTAATAATTAGCATGCCTTGATTGGTGGAACATGGTGAACTAAGCGTTCATCTAACATCTTACAATGCATCGAAATTATTTGAATTAGAAATTAAGTCAAAATCAAAGAATTTAGCTTTGTTTTAATTATTATAATATTTTTAGTTATATTCAGTGCATTTCCAAGTAATCAGTTTCTTAATTTCTTTGTAAACTTACATTTTCCTTGGTGAGTTCTCCCACCATGAAGGTAGACAACCAGCCGCCGAAGGATGACAGAGTGTTCGCCATGCCGAAGATAGTTCCTGAAATATAACAATAATATTATAATATTTGGGTTCAATTCCCGGGTCGAGCAATGTATAACTGGGATTTTAAAAAAATCTCAGTAGTAGCACGGAGTATGGAACTGCGTCCGGTATATGGCAATAGGCTCACCCCCTATTACATGGGACTCATAACATAAATAGTGAAGGGTGGGTGTTACATTGTACAGTGGTATGATGTGCACCTCTGCCTACCCCTTCGGGGATTAAAAGCCGTGATGTTATGTTACAATATTTGCAGTTGCAACAAATTAACTTTTATCGATACCTGGGCGTTAGCTGGGCTTATAAGCAGCTATGAACCCCTAGCGTGGCTTGAAAGTGATCGAGATATCTCATTAAACAGTATTAAGGTTTAAAATATAAATAATGAAATACTACAAAAATATACGAATAATTAAACTTACCACTGAAGTTGGGAGCAATATCCAGCCCGTTGCCGAGGTAGCCAGCAGTGACGGCGCCGTTGATGGTGAGCGCTGATGTGAAGATAGCGATGGACCATACACGGTCCCCGCCGAGGTACGCCTGAGCTATCATCAATAGACCTGGAGAAAACAAATAAGTAGTCAAACGCTATTTATTAGAGAGAATTTTTGTTGTAATGATGTATCCTTACATATATTATAAATCGGAAAGTGAGTTTGTTTGTTTGTTCCGCCTTCACGCCGTAACTACTAGACCGATTGCTTTGAAATTTTGCAGACGTAAAGTTAGAAGTCTGGATTAAATAATAGGGTCCTTTTTATCCCGGAAAAAATTAATAATTTCCTAGGAAAAACAAAAATATTGGTATAGATGGCGCTGTTTGTCATTTAAAACCAGTCAACGAATTACCTACTTATTGGAAAAATCTAAATAGCGCGATATAACCGAATTCCACGCGAGCGGAAAGCTATTTGTTTGTTTGCCTGTCTTAAACGGCAGAACGGAGGTACTAATTTACGTGATTTTTTAACTGAAGGTAGTTGAACGGATGGATAGTCAGATATGCTACTTTTTATTCTTTTGTGACGCAAGCGAAGCCGCGGGTAAAAGCTAGTCAAAATAATAAAAGTATTTGTTTGTGTTCAGTTACTTGTTAGGTATACCATCTCTGTTGAATCGTAGAAACTTACATTTGTAATGTTTGTTTATGGTATATAAAAAAATATAATTGTCTACGTATAATTTAAAGATGGAATAAAGTTTAGCCTGTTTGCTACATTCACGTGTTTTTTGCTTATAATTTTAATAATTCAATTTGTTTCTAGTAGACCTATTTCTCTCATGCATAGAGTAGACTAGACAATAAATCAAAGTAAGTTTTTAGTAAATAAGTCTAAGAGCCGATTTTTTCAATCATCAGTTAATTCTACTGTAGAATAAAATTGATATTTGACAGTTTTGTGTAGGGAAGAATTGACAAATAAACAAAGTTATTACTCTGATAAAATTGAACTTAGCATTGAAAAATTCGGCCCTAAGTATTAATTCGAGTAAACGTAACACTAGACTCCAGGCTGTATTTAAGCAATGGTAGACACAAGAGTATTTTAAATATCTCATGGTCAATAACTAATGCGGTTGGTATAAAACTATAATATAACTAGCTTCTGCCCGCGACTTTGCATGCGCAATCCCGTTTTCTCCCGTTCCCGTAGGATTTTCAGGATTTTTTTTGAAGTCATAAGAACCTTCTCCTTATTATATAACAAATAGAACAAAAAAAGAATTAGTGAAATCGGTCCAGCCATCCACGCGTGATGCCGTGACCAAGGGAAAAATGTAGGTATTCATTTTTATATTATAGATAAAGAAAGATATAATCGAGGACTAGCAAATCCGGCGAACTCCGTTTCGCCACCAGATGGCTCTTCCTGAATTTTCTTTGCTATAAACCTCACGGAGCTCGAGACTTTTCCAATGAATGTAAAACCGTGGAAATCGGTTAGTGCGTTCTAGAGTTTATAGCGTCAGGGAGGAAAACCCGACTTATTTTTATATAGTAAATTAATACTATGTAGAGTTTAGTGAATACTGTATTACACAAACCAAACTCAAATAATATAAGTACATACGTACGCAAAAGCATGAAGGTTGTCCAATCGATACGATATCTGTCAGACAACCTTTGGGGAAATTAGTGTTGATAAACCCCGACATACCTATATTGTTTAATTAATTATATTAGAGAATAGAAATTAATCATTTTCGACCCACTCATATAGGATACTACTTAGGTACTTGAAATGAGTATAAAGTAGTCGTAAATGGTGGACCACTCATGTGTTTGAACAGTCATTCACCTGTAACACATCTGTCTACTAGACCCATCAAAAATCCTGAACCTGATCGTGGTCATAGGCCAGAGTTCAAGGTCTAGTAAAGTTAAAGTAGTCTAATTTTTAGAGATTGTGCCTTGACCCTCAAGTCAGGTCCGTTGAGTGGCCATGTGAACTGGAGATCTCTGGTAATTACCACCCGATTGCTTATCTGTATATGTATATAACCAATTCGGAGTTATCAGGTTATATCTAAAGTTTGCTACAAAAAGTTAATATTGAAATGTGAGGTAATCTTTCATCATCATCATTATCAACAACAATAGCCAGAAGACGTCCAATGCTGGACGAAGGCCTCCCCCTTTTTTTTTTAATGCGGGAAAATCATCGAATGTCTGCTCCCGCCTGGGTGAGGCGGGAGGGAGTGTCAGACTCTTACTGATTAAAAACCACCCCGTTCCTTCTCCTGCACGTCGAGCCGGAGCCCCGGTTACCCGTTAGGTTCTCCTCCTCCCCCTTAGTCCTCCACGTCAAACGACAAATCGCCATCTGCATCCAATAGCTCCCCGCGACTGTGGTGATGTCATTGGTCCACCTAGCATGAGGTCACACTTCGTCTTAATACGAGGTAATCTATCACATACCTGGAAGTCCCACAGCGAATCCAGTGAAGAGTTTCCTTGCAGCGGTAGTGGAGAGTTTGCCACTTCGCCTCAGATGGTCGGCGAGCACTGACGATGCGAGCGCACACAGGTATTTGCCAAGGTACGGTAGAGATGACAGCAGACCGTTCTGTGAACAAATATTGATATTATTAACGTGATAATTTAATTACAATCTACATTCATGGAGTTTCATTATTTGTTGGTCGTAAACGCAACTTCTGACCAAGAAGTCTTGAGGAAATTCTCAACAGATTTTTTTTTTTTTAAGGGGGGAAAAAACCAGCCCGTTCCTTCTCCTGCACGTCGAGCCGGAGCCCCGGTTACCCGTTAGGTTCTCCGCGACTCCGAATCGGCATCGGCCCTATTGGGCCCCATCTGTGGTGGTCTGATGGCTCTTTGAGGCGCGCGCGGAACGCGACGCGCCGTACGCTCGGGCCTGTTTCTGGTCGGACGGGGAGCCACCCATCTCAACAGCATACGGTCTAGAATGATGACCGTGTCGCAATTAATACTTTTTAAAAATAAGTATGCGCTTTTCTTAAAGATTTGAATAACTAAGTTCATGAAATACGTTTTCTATTTCACCTATAGTGTCGATACACCTTTGTCCTTCTTAGAAAGCTCGGTCACAATGCTATTTTGCTCGATAAAAATATATTTCTGGCCTGTACCGTGAATGTCAGTAACATTTGAACTAGCACCCTTCAATTCGTGTGATCGTACATTGCGCTCAATTTGCTAAACGATTTGCAAATGTTTGATTGATTGAGTATTTGCTAATAACCGAGCTTTGAACTTTGTACTATTTTGGCTAATTGTGAACTTTGTTCTAGATTTTTAAGTGCAAGGGCAATGGTCGAGGTGGTTGTTACACCGTGAATGTCAATTGCCCTCTCGTCAACCCCTAAATAAACGTAAATATAAACCTATAATAAAAGTACATTTGGTATGTCTCGTTTAGGTCTGAATTAACCGGCAAACAAGGTGTTCAACCAAAAAATAATTGCAATCAAATTGCATAGCATTGTGCAACCAACAGTGCCAACGGTTGTACTGTTAACTTTATTTATGGAAAGGATACTGAACTATATAATTTTATTTAAACTGTATAATTTGTAGCGTGACATCAACGTGGCAATAAAGGAAAGATTGAAACAAATAGTTGTATTTCTGCCTACTGTTAGACGAAGAAAATCAACTAAATGAACGTCACTAGTTTAATCTGTATTATCGACCACACTAGCTGTCATCTTGACGATGTCATCTGTCAAATGGGACAGATTAGTAAAGTTTCCCGCGCAAAAGAGTTGTGACATTCTATTCTGGTGGGAATTTTGACGAGCATCACGGTGTGTTCTTAAAAGATCCGTTTAGAATAAACTTTTCAGTATTCAAGTGTAAAGTTTTACTTAAAACTACACATTATGAAAGCTATTAGGCCGTTTAGGGTTCTAATGTAAATACCTACACTGCAAACCGGTATCCAACCAAAAGACCAATAGCATTTAAACATACAAAATAAAGCACCCACTTCCCCGAACGTTCACAAAAGAGGTCATCAAATCACCACAAAAATGTATATAAAATTGTTTACACAGTACCTATGTACATCATACTGAAGCCATATTGTACTGTCGTAAAAGATCGATGAGCCCAATAGCCATTGTCAAATTACATTGTCAAGGCTGACTGACTGCCTGCATCAATATAACTTGATTAAACAGGGAACGTTGTTGGCAAGACCATTTTAGAACTAGACTGTTATTTTGACTGAATTATTGTCTGAAATGTAGGCTGGTTAGTCGAACTTCTATACAGTACAATACAGGTAGTTGAACCTACATGTATACCATGTGTTGACGGTAAATTCAACGCACTCGTGAAGCGATTTTGTCCCGCGTCTGCCGCATTTGCGGACCCGCAGCCTTTGTCGAATATAGATAATGTATGTAAAAAATTAATGCACCGCGGCGGGCCGGTCTGAAACTCAATTAAGTTTGCGGCCAATAAACGCAACCGCGGCGGCTTCGTAACAGAAAACTGCGATCAGTTTTGAAAATAAAACTCCATTCCGTCACAGCAGTGGGCGCGGGTGAAAATAGCGCCTTGAGTCTAAAACGTAACTAAGGCCTTAGTACGTACTTAAAGTATTCCAAACGAGTATGCGTTCGGCACTCTGATTGGCCGGCGCCAATGAAGCAACCAATCACAGCACCGAACGCGTACTCGTTACGATTACTTTAAACTTAAAACAAACAGCCTATGTTCTTGTGGGTGTTGTAAGACGGCTCTTACTTAGTCTGAAATTTGTCAGAGATCAGGTAGCAGTACTCTTTAATAAACCTGAAGCTTTTAAACTGCAATCTCTAACCCGCCTCCCAGGTGGTGGAAATTATGTCAAAACTTATGCATGAAGAAGGGGGCCATAGTTCAGCAGTGAACTATTACACGGGCAAACTAATGTTAATACTTATAGAAAGAAAGAATAAAAGAAAAATAATTTATTCGTCACCCACCGCTTTGTTTTTCATTAGTTGTTATAGAAATGATATACAAGTAATGTGCGTAAACTCCATTTGCCTATTAGACTTGTTGATTCAAGGAAGTAACTAATATAAAGACAACAATATGCCTACATGTTATTGTCTGCATACTTTATTTATGTAGAGGAAGATACTAGTAATAAATATACAATTTACACGCGGGATTTAACGTCAAATCATCATTAATGACAAAATGTAAGGTAAAATGTACTTGAGTATTTTTAATAAAGTCAGGAAAACACGATAGGTAAGAAGTTTATAATTATTACCAGAAAATATGCTCGAATATTCACAAATATAGAACTTAATACATACATCCATACATAACTTCACGCCTGTCTCCCATGGGGGTAGGCAGAAACTAGGGAACGCTAATTACTACGATTCTTACATACCTCTTTCGCTTCGTTAACAGTCATCAATGATTTTTTCTCTTTTTAGAACTGAAAGAGTTCACAAAGTTATTGCAAATTGTCCTATTTATTAGAGCCTATAACGTCTCCAAAACTAAATAGAGTCCCGCCTAGCAATAAGACTTACAGCCATACTCAGTCAATAATGGCTACTTAACCCAGTCTTTAGCAATAGGGATGATGACAGGATATGAAAATTTAAAATCTAATTAGTCCGTCAGTTAGGTAATGAAAAAATATTAGACACGTACTTTTTTATTTTGTTGTATAATAAAATTATACTTAGATATAACAAATCAAAGTTTAGGAGTGGGGGTGAAAACGTCATTTCTACGTACATATAAAATGTACATAGAAGTGACGTCACGCGACATTTCAAATCAATATATCGTCGAAAATATTAATTTCTATAAAAAAAAACGTGAGTAATGTTTTTAAATAATCTACCAGACGGACATTAAAATAAAAATTAATCATCTACCCTATTGTTTTCGGAACAATTTCGTTATTAAATTAATATTTTAAATAATCATTAAATGTCTCTGAGTATCTCAGTTAGGTATACGTAATTAATAACTATTTAAACGCCTCCGAAGCGCCCACAAAACCGCAGCTGAATTTCATTTAACTGACGACTCGTACCCAAAAGAGGTCAACATTGATTGCTTTAACTTAATAGCTACCAGCATACGTACAATTCTTCGAAAGAATATCGAGGCGGTTGAGGAAAACACTGAATTAATGGTAACAGAAAGTTTGTTAGTGGCATTACTTACATAGTTATAAATAAAATTACAGTACTACTGGGTTTTTTAAAAATGTCTCAGTAGTAGCACGGAGTCTGGAATTGTGCCCGGTAATGCCAATAGACTCACCCCCTATTACATGGGACTCATAACATAAATAGTGAAAAGTGTATGTTACATTAATGATGCAGATTATAAATTACTTAATCGTAAAATGTGTTGCTAAGCGAAGAACTCTGGGATGTCTTTTTTTTTTAAGGGAGGAAAATCATCGAATGATTGCTCCCGTCTGGGTGAGGCGGAAGGGAGTGTCAGACTCTTACTGGCTAAAAACCACCCCGTTCCTTCTCCTGCACGTCGAGCCGAAGCCCCGGTTACCCGTTGGGTTCTCCGCGACAACTCTGGGATGTTTATAGAACAATTTTCCTTATATTGTCGTCAGAAGGAAACAGCTCAAGAAAAAAAACAAATGACTAACATCAGGGACAATGAAACCTAATGTTTGATTTATCTTGGAGGGATCTAAAACAATCATAGTTGTTAAAAAACTAACTTAGAAGCACTCCAAAGAGAGACAATTTGCTGAAAATACTGTCATTACTTGATAAAGATTTATCTGATCTAAAGTTGCGATTAAGACACGACAAATAAAACGCAGGAAACAACTGCCTAAGTATAATAAAATTGAGTAGATATCTAAAACAGACAAAATACAGGAAACCATTATAACATGAATAAATTCAGCCCATAATACTCTCCTCAAGAACAAGTTCATCAAAAGCAAATAATCTTCAAACCTGACAAAAACTTCAAGATCAGTTCGTCCATCTCCAAGTCCAATGAACCCGACTATCAAACATTTTTTTTATGGAATAGGAGGCAAACGAGCAGACGGATCACCTAATGGTAAGCGATCAGCGCCGCCCATGGACACCCGTAACACCAGAAGAGTCACAGGTGCGTTGCCGGGCTTTTAAAAAGGAATACGCTTTTTTCTTGAAGGTTTGAAGGTTGTATCGGTTCGGAAATACCGCCGACGACAGATCATTCCACAGTTTTGCTGTGCGAGGCAGAAAGCATCGTGAAAAGCGCACAGTTGTGGCCTGCCAACAATCTATATGGTGGGGACGCATATGCTGTCGTGCGGGTCGATGGCGAAAAGATGCGGCAGGTAAACATGTAGAACTACGGCAAACCCTCTCATATTCCAGCATTAGATTGCAAATTTATTTACTTTCTAGTTTTTAGTATGCTTACGTAATTATAGGTATTATAATTGTTATTTATATACTTGATCACTCATTATTAATTTAGTATGCAAGGAAAGTCCTAGGTCTTAATCGATAACGTAATGAAGTCACGCTTTCTCCTAAACAACTGAAACGAATTTGTTGGAATTTCGATAGTGATAGATCCCGGATATAA